CAGATCAGATCTGATTGGTACAGGAGGAGATTGCCTCTCCTTCTCCAGCAGAGCATCTGATGGATTTGAACGGTGCACCTTCAGCATTGCAGTGCAGCTTCTTGCCAGAAGGCCACCAGAACTCCTGTATTTTCTTTTCTGTATTAAAGATCTTTTAGTCTACTCCTATTCAAATACTGTGCAGATTCAATTATAGTCTTTTATTAGAAGTCTTTTAATAGAAGTCTTATTTTTTAACTAAAATTTATTGCTAATTTTCTTTAGATATTTGGCCTATCATATGTACTTTGGAATGATTTTATTCAATTAAAAGCAGCCGAAGAGTCTCTAATTGGGATTTCATTAAATTTATATTTGGAACATGAAATACTTTCTGATATATTGGTACATATATAAGTCCTCAGAACAGAGCAGGGAAATACTGCATGGTTCAAAATCAGAAAGGGAGTGCATCACAGATACATCCTGTCTCCATACCTTTTCAGTCTATATGCAGAACAGGTCATTTGAGAGGCTGGGCTCTGAGGAGGAATGTGGCATCATGTTTGGAGGAAGACTCATCAAAACCTATGTTATGCAGATGGCACAACCCTGCTTGCTGAAAGTGGGGAGGACCTGAAGTGCTTGCTGCCGAAGGTCAAGGTCTGTCGTCTTCAATACGGATTGAAGCTCAACATCAAGAAGACAAAGATTCTCACCACTGGGCCAATTGGCAGCGCCGTGATGGATGGAGAAGAGAGTGAGGTTGTTAATAGTTACAGCTTGCTCAGCTCCACAATCAATACTTTTCGCACCAGCAGTCAGGAAATTAAAAGGTGCATTGCAACAGTTAAATCTGCTGTCAGGGATATTTCCAGAGTATTGAGAAGCAATGGCCTGATCCAGTCCATGGTATTTGCAATTACTTGCTTTACATCAGAGAGCTGGTTAATGACTAAGGATGATAGAAGAGTTGATGCCTTTTAGTTGTGGTCTGCAGAAGAGTCTTAAACATACCATGAACTGCCAAGAAAACAAATAGGCCTATCTTGGAGAGAGTTAAACCAAGTTTCTCCTTGGAAGCTAGGATTTTGACGCTCTGTTTCACATATTTTGGGCATGTGGCCAGGAGGGACTGATCCTTAGAGAAGGACATCAAGCTCAGAAGGGTAGAGAGATGGTGCAGGAGAGGAAGACTCCAGGTTAGATGGACTGATACAGTAACTAGGGCAGTGGGGGTTGGTGTATCAGAGTCGGTGGGACTGGCTCAGGACAGGGCAGGCTTCAGAGCTATTGTACCTAGGGTCATGATAAGTTGCAGGTGATTTGATGGCATATAACAACAAATAAGAACATCTTGTTGTACATGAGCTCTGGCCTCGTGGCAAGAAGCTGTGCTGCAATCCCAAAACCATGTGGTTCAAGGCCACCAGCTGCTCCGCAGGAGAAGGATTGACAGTAATTAACTGCCTCTGAAAACATGCTGGAGGGTCAGCTATGGTCAGTTTCAACTCTATGGTACATAAGAACATCCTGTTGTAAAGGTATGTATTGTCATATGTTGGTATGTGCCATCAAGTTGCTTGTGACTCATAGTGACCCTATGTACAATAGCCCTGAAACCTGCTCTGTCATATGCCAACCTTATTGTCTCTGACACACCTGCCTTCATTACCCCAGTCATGGAATCAGTCCATCTCATCGAGGGTCATCTTGTGCTGTCCCTCCACCCTTCCAAGCATAATATCCCTCTCCAAGAACTGGTCCCTCCTTATAGCATGCCCAAAGTATGTCAGATGAAGCCTCAGAATCTTTGCCTCCAAGGAGCAGCCTGGTTTCACTCTCTCTAGGATGAACCTGTTTGTTCCCCTGGCAGTCCATGGTATATTCGATACTTTTTTCCCCAGTACCACAGCTCAAAGGCATAAATTCTTTTGTATCATCCCTAATCATTATCTAGCTTTCTGACACGTAGCAAGTAATTGCAAAGACTATGTCCTGGATCAGGCTCACCTTAGTCTCCAAACTTATATTGTTACTTTTCAGTACTCTGGAGAGGTCCCTGATAGCTGACTCCCAGTGCAATTAATCTTTTGATTTCATGGCTATTGGTATCAAGAGTGTTGATCTTGGAGCCCAGCAAACTACAGCTGTTAATAATCTCAGTCTCTTCACCATCTATCATAATGCTGCGAATTGGCCCAGTGGTGAGAATGTTTGTCTTGATGTTGAGCTTCAATCCATATTGAAAGCTGTTGTCTTTGACCTGCAGCAAGCGCTTCAGGTCCTCCTGGGTTTTAGGAAGCAGGGTTGTATCATCTGTATAACGCAAGTTGTTGATGAATCTTCCTCCAATCCTGATGCCACATTCTTCTTCATAGCGCCCAACCTCCCAGATAATCTGTTCTGCATATAGATTGGGTGTTTTTATTCTTATATTTTTATTATTAATTTTAATGAAAGTTTGCAGACTTTCAATTTCCATTCATTCATTGTTGCACATTTCTCCCCTCCCAACCCTCCCCCTCCCCAGTACACTACCCTCATGTGGGAATGATCATAAACACAATGTGAATTTAAAAAAGAAATTTTACACTCCCACCAAAAGTGAATAAGGATTCCAGTTTCTCCACAACCTTGCCAGCATTTGTTGCTTGATTGTCTGTTAAATTTTGCTATTCTTACTGGGGTTAAATGATATCTCATAGTTGTTTTGATTTGTGTCATATAGATTGGTTTTTTAAAAAATTTATTCTTTAGGACAAATACTGCATGGTGCCACTGTTGTAAAACAGGACGTTGGGGAGACTGAGAAAGATGGGTTTAATAATGTATGTTGTTGTTGGTGTTGGTGTTATGTGCC